TACCTTACCTAGAGCCACAAATGTTGATTGAAACTATTGGGGGGAAATCAGGGAAAAATAGATCCCAAATTCAAAGCGAAGTTTTTCAATTATAAAGACTATGTGGAAACCTTAGGAATAAAGACATTTTAAAAGTAAAGAGGAAACAGATCCAGAAAAAAAGAATCAAAAGAGGAACCCCCAAATATGTTTTTGTTTTTTTGACATGGATCCTGGTACCAAAGGCACTATTTTGTTTCAAAAATTAAAAATATAGAATGATGTTAAACTATTTAAATATCATATGAGGCTCCATAAGAAACAGCATGTTTTAAGTTGCCAAGACTAAAGTGATCTTGACCAGGGATCCTGGCTCTAAAGTCATGGTCCTTAAACATTTTTATCCCAACTCCTCCATAACATTTCTCCACCAAAGGAAAAAGAATAATACATACATACACACATACATACACACACACACACATGTATAAGTGCATCTATTTATCTATGTATATTTATATCTATCTATATCTATATCTATACCTATATCTATCTATATCTATCTATATCTATATCTATATATAGATATCTATATCTATCTATCTATCTATCTATCTATCTATCTATCTATATATGTGTATATATATATATATATATATATATATATATATATATATATATATATATATATATATATATATATACACACACATACATATATATAACTGGATTTTCACACCTTGAAGAAACCTGAAAGCCAGGGTTGGTTTTTTTTTCTTTCTTTCTTTCTTTTTTTTTTTCATTTATCTCTCCCAGGAACAGAGAAGCTAACACAGGTGATTTGGGACAGTGTTTAGCCTGCAAGCACAGCATTCATGTAGCCTACTGAGTAATGGAGATAAATATTCCTAATTCATTTTCCAACCCAGCCTGTGTCTTAAAGCTATGTGTCAATGGGATGAAACAAAGTACAGGATATTAAGTTTCCTTGTCCCTGATTTTATTTTTCTCTTTTACAACTCTATTAGATGGTAAAACTCTTACAGAGCAGAGATTGTGTATTCTGTATGTGTGGTGATGAACTCCATAGGGCCCTTGGCATTTCAGAGGAACTATACTGATGGTAATCAGTAATCCAATTCTCAGTCTGATACCATGATTTGGGCTTTCCTAACATTTGATGCTAAAGCTACTCTTGCGAAATCTATTGGCTTTTAAAAAATATGATTCTTATATCTACCTTTTTCTGTCTTTTACCTCATCCAGACCCCTTTTCCTCGTTGTACGTCCTTCCTCTAAACCTTCCACTCAATTCAGAATCTAAAAATCTCAAACATAAAAGAGATCATACAGACTACCTCATTCAAGCAATCCCTAAGTAAGAATCTAATCTGTGACATACACAACAAAAAGTCATATAACTTTTGCTCAAAGGCCTCTAGTGAAGGGGGATCCACTTGCTCCTAAATCAGTCCATTACACTTTTGGATAGTTCTGTTAGAAAGTTTTTCCTATTATCATCTTTTCATTTCTCCCTTTACAACTTTTACCCATTGCTCATTGGTGTTGCCTCTGTCAGGGGTGGGGAACCTGCAACCTTGAGGTCACATGTGGCAGCACTCTAGGTCCTCAAGTGTGACCCTTTAACTGAATCCAAACTTTATAGGAAAAAATCCCTGTAATAAAAGGATTTGTTCTGTAAAATTTGTACTCAGTCAAAAGACTGCATCCAAGAACCTAGAAGGCCACATGTAGCCCCCAGGCCACTGGTTCCCCACCCCTGCCTAGGCCAAAGAGAAAAGTCTGATCCCTCTTCTAAGTGATAACCTTTCAAATTCTTGAAAACTGCTATCATTCTGGTCTCTCCTACTCCGAAAATCTAACCTCCAGGGTAAACCTAACATTTCAAGATCCTTCAATCAACCCTTCTGTGTCATGGATTTAAGATACTTTCCTTACCCTGATGGCCCATCTCTAGATGATATTTGGTTTATCAATGCCCGTCTTCTATTGAAATTCCCACGGAGTAACAATGACTAAACAAAGAGCTCTTCACCCAATCTAAACTCACTGACTTCAACATGATGTACCCAGAAAATTTAATTTCTCCTTTTTCCTTCTACTTCTCTCCCATTCTGCCATTTCTACTTGCCTTAGCTGACCTTAGTCAAATTCTTCTTCATATATTCACTCCACTTCCAACCCAAAACTATTTTTTCTAAAGAAGCAATATATTAATGAGACATTATGAAAACCCCATCATTCCAAGCCATTCCCTTCCAAACATTTAGTGTATCTTCTCCAAAATGACTTTCCAGATGTCTGATAAATCCAATAAACATTTATTGAGCTCCAATTGTATCATAGAAGTATTGGCCACTTCCCCTCCCACAACTAGGGTTACATATAGAACTCTTCCAACTTCCATTCAAACAATTGCACTTCATTATATGCTTATCCAAAGAATACTTAAGTCCTTTACCTTTCAGTTCTATATCAATGAGCCAATGAATATTTACTGAGCACCTGCTACATTTCTAAAATAGGGTCAGATGATAAATATCTTGTTAAAATGCTTGAACATTGATATGATCCTAAGTTGGTAGAGGGCAAGAATGAATCTGTTGCACATTCTCCTCTTCATACATTTTAATTTGTAATAACTTACTCAACAAGCACAGATTAAGTTCCTAGAACATCTTAGGCACTGTGGTACATGCTGGAGATACAAAGACAGGCAAAAGACAATCCCCTCTATTAAGGAGACAAACAACATGTAAACAATTTTGTACAAATATGACATATACAGGATAAAATGGAGATAATCATTACTAGCATTAACGGGAGTCAAGAAAAGATTCTTGCCAGAGAAGCCAAGAGGCAGAAATGAGAAAAGGGAGAATTCCAGGCTTTAGGGAACAGCCAGCAAAAATGTATGGATTAGGGAGATTAAGTGTCATACAAAGAGAAATAAAAAGAATGGAAAGATAGGAGAGGGCCAGGCTATGAAAGGCTTTAAAAACTAAACATTAGATTTTATGTTGTACCCTAGATGTGATGCTTTTTGAAGATGCAATGTTTAAAGTTTGTCTAGAAATAAATATGAACCAAGAACCATCCTGTATGACTTGAGGCATCCTTGAGGCCAATTTAGGATTAATATCAGACAATAAAACCTTTCTAACAATAAGATCTCACCAAATGTAGAATAGGCTACCACAAGAGGTGCTTGGCTTTCTCTCTTTGGAGAGTTTCAAGCAAAGGCTGAGTGCCTATTTATCTAGTATGTTATACAAGGAATTCCTTTCGTGTACAAGTTTGACTAGACAGCCATGAAAGTCCCTTTCGACTCTAAAATTCTCTGATTATCAATCAAAAATTATTTATTGATTACTTTCTATGTTTTAGGCATTCTAGTAAGCATTACAGTACAAAGACAGTACAGACTGGCCCCTGCTCTCAAAAAGCTTTCATCCTAACGAGAGAGAGACAACATTTAAATGGTACATGCAAGATATATTTAGAACAGAGGTAATCTTACAGAGGAAGGCACTTATTAGTAGTGATGAGGAAAGGTGGCTTTAGTAAAGCCATTTCACTTTACTGAAAAAAAGTGGTATTTGAACTAAGTTTTAAAGGAAACCAGGGAATCTACAAGGCACAACTGAGAAGGGAGAGCATTCCAGGCATGAGGGACAGCCAGTCAAAAGGCATGGAGAATGGAGATAGAGTATCTTGTTTAAGAAACTAGAAGTAAACCAGTACAAATGTTCAAAAGGCAGTTCATGCTGCTGAGGAGAAAGAATAAGTTGTATAGATTATATAGGTTATATAGATCTGGGAATTAACAATGATAACTGGATTCATGGGATCTGATGTGATTGCCAGGTAAGTTTTTATAGGGGGAAAAAGGAAGAAGGCCCAGAATACAGCCTTAAGGAATACCCACAGTTAGTGGGTGATAAGGATGAAGAACTAGCAAAAGATACTGAGGAGTGGCCAGACAGGTAGGAGGAAGACCAACAGTGAACAGTGCCATGAAATTCTAGGAGAGAGTATCAGAGATTATTCAGTACATAAAGATGATTAGCAGTGTCAAATGCTATAAGGAGGTCAAGAAGAATAAAGATTGAAAAAAAGGACATTAGATTTGGCAATTAAGAAATTATTGTTAGCTTTAGAGAGCACAGTGTCATTTGAATGATCAGAATGAAAACCCAATTCTAGAAAGCTTAGAAATGATTTAGTGGAGAAGTAGAGTCACTGAGGGTACATGTTTTCTCAAGAAGTTTAGCCACACAGCAGAAAAGAAATGTAGGACAATAACTAGGGGAATGGTTGGAGCAAGTACAGATTTTTAAAGACGGGGAAACATAAGTGTATTTGTAAGCAGCAAGGAGTTAACAAGTAGATAGGGACATATCACTATTAAAAGAGAGAGTGGGGACGATAATAGTAGGGATAATGTTCTGGAGAAGATACAAAAAGGGATAGGTTGAAGGTATGTAGAAGAGTTGGCCTTGACAAGGAGAATGGTCACGTTTTCATTTGAGTAAAGTAAGCAATATAAGGGAAGATGTCTCAGTGATATGGAATGTAGGGGAGAGGGAAGAGATGGCACCTGGCAAATTACTTGAGTTTTGTTTTCTTTGTTTGTTTGTTTTCCTGAGAAGTACTAGGTGAAGTCCTCAATTCATAAGGTCAGGGTGGAGGATCACATGGAAGCTTGAGAAAATTACAAGATTAGGAACAACTACAGAGGAGAGGGGGATAGTGAATTGATTAGTGAAGAAAATTATATTTTCCTTGCTGCAGTGAATAGCAAATATACAGTTGAGACCAGGTAACATCAAATTGTAGCAGACCCAGTTAGCACAGTTTTGTCATTTCCTCCAGCCCTTTTCAGTGGCATGTGAATAGTGAGGCAGATATAAGAATAAGATAAAGGAAGTAACACAGGATAGGAGTTTGATTCTGTGACCCAAATCCATCTTCCCAATCCTTAATTCCATACTACCTACCTCCTAGTAAAATAATTGCTTCTATTGGTTCAAGGAATTCAGGAGCATTTTGTTGTACCTCAAAGATCCAGATAAACCCATCTGGTTTCAAAAAGGTTACTCTGGGGAATAAAAGAGTATACAATTATAATCTATTGTAATTGATGCAGGTGAAAGGATCTTTCTTCTAAGTCTTCACAACTTAGCAAAGATCAAAAGCTTTCATAATTTACTGATGATATACAGACATAATTTTTTATTTAATTTTTAACCAGTTATTTTTGTCCTCTCTTTAACGATAGATTTTTTTTCCTTATCATCTTCTCAAGAAGCAGACACTTCTCAAGCTTGAAGCGTATATGAGGTTTCTTCCATCTAAAGCCTCTCAAAGCACTCCTGGTGAAACTAGCTATTTCAATTTCTGCAACAGCTAATTCTAAGGAAGGCCAGGAAGCTAACATTCTGTGAAGTGCAATATGTAATCACTTCTTGAGATCCTTCAGAGTGTAGAAATGGTTGCATCTGTCCTAAATAACGACAGAGATCAGACACCTGGTCACAAATTACTGGGGTTTGGGGTTGTTATTGGGTTGCACTTTTTTTTTGAGATTTCTGAACTCCCAGACAAATTAACCTGTTTATAGACTGTTTTCAGGAGCTATGGATGAAATACTTATTGAAAAAAGATCTTCTTTTCTCCAAGTGAGAAACAAGTATTTTCAAGATTTCAGTACGCAGAATTTGACCTAACAAAGGAAATTGTGTCCTCCAGTAGATGATGCTACCCTTTATTCATTTGGGGGTTTGGCTTCAAAGAACAATATACAATATCTCCAGTGGGTCTTTCAATACAGTGAGGACTCATTCAAATTTAACAAGAAATTCAACTTTTATTAGGCACTCATTATTTTGCAGAGGAATGTGTTAGGCAATGGAAGAAATACAAATTTTAAATAAGTCAGGGTCCCAACTTGCATGGAATAGACAGCCTAGTAGGGGGAAAATATACAGACACAGAAAACTATGATGCACAGTATTACATCAGTAGTACATGGCCTAATCTAAAGTTTTGATTCTTCATTAATTGTAATATTCTACGTTGTCAATGATCTACTATTACCAAGAAAATGTTAGTGTTTAAAATATGGATTTTTGTGACAGGGAAAAACTTAAGATCATTGAAAGTATATTTTTCCAAATGCAAGCCAGCCCATTCTCTCCTCTTTAATTGCACATCTATGACTTTTGTCTATATATACTGAGGGACAAACTCAATCCATTTCCTCATCTAATTGTACTTCATAGTCTAAGCAATAGTATTTCTTCATCCATTTGGTTTCTCTTGTTTGGATTGTTAGTTGATTTTGAGAAGAGTAGTGTATCGGGGAAGATACTGGCATTCTAAGGTTTTATAACATCAGTGCAATGTCATCTCAATCCTGAGATCACCTGTATTAATGCTTCTTTTGGATTCTGTACATGTCATTCTCCTCAAATGATGAATGCCTTTGGTGAGTATATGTCTTACTGTTGTATACTTTGATTTTTATTGATACTGAGAGCATCTTTGAACAAATCATGGTGGCTACATCTCTCAGGGAATCGTGTTGATTTAACATGTCCATGAGAGACTGTTTTTTTTGTCAGAGAGCTTGTCAGGTAGAATTTTGTTTTACCAAATTATGTGCTTTGCTCTCCCCAATCAACAAAATAATCACAATGAGATCGTGTATTCTTTATATCTTTCAGTTATTTTTGTGCCTATTAAGCTGTGGTTTCCTGTAGAAAATCATCTGAAAAAGCCTTCTTGTTTCTCTCGGATGAGATCACTTATAAAACATTGGCTGCTCTGTTCCATTTTGTAGCAATTTCTTGCTCTCCTATCAGTTTCAACTATAAATAGACTTGAGATGATCTGTCTTCTTTGGATATCATTCCAAGCGTCCTAAAAACCCATTTTGTTCCACTGTTTATCACTGCCTGATCGGGTGATATTGCTCATAATATTTCACCATTCTCTTCTCTACAGTTTTGCAAATGAACTTACATTATAATTCAATGTTGCTTTTCTTGCTGTGATTCAAACATTTGCAAGCTGAGGAGATATCTGGGCTCTTTTGGATTCCTCATTGTGTAAACTACGTTAAAAAAAAAAACAGACCTGTGATTTACATGCACGATGTGTTTCCTTATGCATATATGCTACATTTGGATTCTTAAAATAAAACCTAAAGACAGAAGTAGAACTTCAAAAAGCAAGCAAGTTGTCTCTGAAAGATCTTCTTATCAAGTACTAAACCTTTACCTACACAGTGTTGCAAAATGTCAGATACCCTGGCGGGGAAGGGGAGGGAATACATCATAAGCTCACACTCTCTCTAGCACCTAATATGCCATTTAGTTGTCTGAGAAGAAAAAAAAAAAAGAATGGTATAATAATATGAAGGAAATTTCTCCAAAGGAAATATACACAATGTTGTGTTTCCTTCTATTCACAAACTCTATAGATCTATCTGATTCTGATTCTCACTCCTTTACAAATCAAAGAAACATGTCAACCAGACCATTTAACTCTACTGGCACCAGTAACAGTCACTCCTTTTCCTTAACTATTATTGTAATTGCACTCTCACATGTTGCTGAAATGACAAAACAAATATAGTCCTGAGGTTTGGGTTCCATTTTTATGTGCCTACTATGGGCCCAAAAAAGCTACCTTTTAAGGTTTTGTCCTACCTGTTGATAATAGTACTTAGACCTTCTCTGACAGTTTTGCTAGCAATGTATTAAGATCATATAAGAGTCCTTGGTAAGTACAACCATGGGTATGATGGTGTTTTTTTTTTTAAATGAAACTCTTAGTATCAATATAAAATGAGACATAATTAATCAACAAACACTAATTAAGCACCTACTATGTGCCAGACATTGTGTTAGGGGCTGAGAATACAAAAATATATTGAAAACAGTTCCTTTCATCAAGAGGCTTACAGTTTAATTGAGAAAGACTGTATTACATAAAACATACATAAAACACATACAAGGTAATTTTGGTAAGATAGCACTTGTAGCTATAAGGACACGAAAATTCTCATGTGGTGGTACTTGAGGTGACCTTTGAAGGAAAGTAGGGATTCTGAGGAATTTCCAAAGATGAGGAATAGTCAGTACAAATTTTCAAAGCTGAAAGTATCTATTATATACATTGCTATAGATCTGCTATGTTTGAGGAAAATCAGGAAGACTAATATGTGTGTGTAAGAAAAGTAATGAGAAATAAATCTGGAAAGGTAGGTGGAGAACAGATTGTGATAGGTTTTAAACACAAAATTTTGTTTTATCTCAGAGGTAATAGGGAGCCATTGCAATTTACTGAATAGGAGACTTAATGTGGATCTTCAGACTTTTTCTGTTACAGAAAATAAATCTTGCAACTTTGTGGAGGTTAGATTTTAGAAGAGTGAGACCTGAAGTCGTGAAATCAATAAGGAGACAATTGGAGAAAATAGACAAGAAATATATTTATATATTGTATTTATTTTATTATATATATTATATTATATATGTATATATATATATATATACATATATATGTATATATCAAGTTGTTAAGTACTTTGTTAAGTGCTTACTTACTTCAATATAGGGGTGGGCAAAGAGAACAGGAAAATATATCTTAGACATAGGGTGAACTAGAATTAAGGCTCCATAAGTGAAGAGATGAGTATAAATTCAAGGAAAGTTGTGGAAGTAGAAATAAGATTTAGCAATTGAGTGGATATGTGGATTGAGGAAAAGTGAGAAATCAAGGAAGAACACCAGAATAGCAAACCTGGGTGACTAGAAGGATAATGATACCAATAATAGAAATAAGAGAAGTTTGGTTTAGGGGAAAGATAATGAATTCTATTTTAGATACGCTTGATTTGAGATACCTACAGGGCATCTAGTTCAAATACTAATAATTACTACTACTTCTAGCTAACATTTATATAGTACTATGTGCCTGGCATTGTGCTAAGTGTTTTACAATTATTATCTCATTTGATCCTCATAACAACCATGCAAAGTAGGCGCTCTTATTATCCTCATTTTACAAAACAGGAAACTGAAGCAAACAAGGTTAAATGACTGCTGGTCACTCACATGGCTGGTAAGTGTCTGAGACTGGATTCAAATTCAGACCCTCTTGACTTTAGGCCTACAACTCTCTTCACTACACCATCTAGCTGCCTAGTTCAAAATGTATAGAAGGTAGATGGTGAAATAGGAGGTTCTCAAGAGAGATATTATGGCTAGAAATATAAATCTGGCAGTCATGATAATAGATACATTAATTAAAATTATGTGAAACAATGAGGTCACCAAGAAGGAGAGTATAGGGAGAGAATAGAAGAGGACAGAACCTTAGGAGGCATTTGCAGCTGAGGGGCATGATATAGAATAGGAAAGAGAACTGAAGACTTAGAATAAGTGATCAGATTGATAGAATGAGAACCAAGAGAGATCAGTATCATTAAAAAACAGTGAGGAGAAGATTTCCAGTAGGAGACAGTAATTAAGAGCATCAAATGCTTCATTCAGAGAGGTCAAGAACCATGATTGAGTAAAAATATATTTGGCAATGAAGAAATCACTGGTAACTTTAGAGAAAGGAATTCCAGTTGAATGGTAAGGTCAGAAAACACGATGTCATGAGCTGATCACTGATGACAGTGAAAACATGTTTTGTCATAGAGGATTCCCTAGACAAAGTGCAAGTTGAAGAATACTCTCTCTCTCTCTCTCTCTCTCTCTCTCTCTCTCTCTCTCTCTCTCTCTCTCTCTCTCTCTGTCTTTGTCCCTCTGTGTCTCTGTCTCTCTGTGTCTCTGTAGCATAGATTGATGTAACTGAGTATAAATTCCGCTATCTATCTGGGCACAGAAGACCAGACCAGGCTATGCTTCACATTCTGTCCATAAGTCTACTCTGGCCATATCAACATGCCAATACTAGTATAGTAGCACCACAAGCACCTCACACACACACACGCACACACACACACATATACATACACAAACATATTAGAAAAAGTATATAAATGGCTTATGGAGCCACTCACCATCCCTGTGACACCCTAGACTGCAGCAAGGAGGGTGAGGGGGGAACCTGTGACCTCAAGGCTACATATGAACTTCTAGGTCCTTACATGCAGCCTTTTGACTGAACTTAAGTTTGACAGAACAAATCCTCGTGTTAGGGGATTTGTTCTGTGAAGTTTGGATTCAATCAGAGGGCCCCATTTGAGGACCTAGAGGGCCACGTGTGGCCTCAAAGCCACACGCTCCCCATGCCTGCCTAAACACTCCTCCTTGACCTCATTCACATATAGGTGTTGTCTCCCATTATTAGAATATAAGTTTGTTGAGGTCAGAGAATGTCTCATTTTTGTATTGTATGTCTAACATTAAGCACGGTGCCCAACACGTAGTAAGCATTATCTTATACATAACAAGCACTTAGTAAGTCCACTATCTTCACAGGCACACTAGGGTCAGGTAGGATAGATGGAACTGAAGATGAACGGAGACAGAATCCCAGAGTTGGGAAAGAGCTTAGAGGTCATCTAATCCAATCCAATGCAAGTGGTCATTGGGCCGCTACTTAAATTCCTCCAGGGAGACAAACCCACTGCTTCCCAAGGCTGTACATTCCACTTTGGGACAGATCTAAATATTAAGAAGTTTTTTTTTCCCTTACATCAAGTCTTCCTGAAGTCTATTCAGTGCTCCTGCTTTTCACTTCTGAAACAAGTCTAACTCCTCTTTTATATAGCATCCTTTCGATTACTTGAGGACAATTATCATACCCTGCTTAAGTCTACCTTTCTCCTGGCATAAGGCTTCCACTTCCTTAAATGATTCTTAAATGGTGTAGTTTCCATCTTGATCATCTTCTGAATAGCTCCAGTTTTACAATGGTTTCCCTGAAATGCAGTGTTCAGAACTGAACACAATATTCCAGATGTGGTTTGACCTTTTGTAACAGTCAGGGAATTTTAAAAAGAGTTTATTTATACAGAAACACTGATCAAAAACTCTTTCCATTTCAGACAAGTAGAGACCTCTGAAACTTGCCAGTTCAATTCCCTCATTTGTCTTTATGAGTTGTATAATATTCATTGGTTAAAATTTTAGTACAATACCCAGTTGCTGAACTATTTCCTAGACAAATAATTTCATGTCTTATAAAAATCCCTGCTTTTGTAATCTCAATGTGGCTTCTATTCATATCAAAGCCATGAGGCTGGGAGCTCCCCATATAGCTTGCCTGCTTTGCAGGATTGTATTTCAGGAATGCCCTGCTGTTAGAAGCATATGTTCCACAACTAATTTTTTTCCACCATCTTAATAAAAATCTTTTTGTTGCTATGCTCTTGTTGCCTCAGAATTCCCCAAAACTCCCAAATAAAAACTCTCCAAGGACAATATTATTGCAGTATTGGTTTAATAGAAAGAAAAGGCAGTCTTATGTAATGAAAAGAAAACTGGATTTATTGTCAAAAAACTTGGGTTTGAATCCCTGCTCTGCTATTTGCTGCCTATATAAACTGGGTCAAATAATTTTTCTTCTTTGTGTTTCAGCTTACATATACATATTTCTGTATATACATAATATAATACATATAACTATATGTGTGTGTATGTATATGTATATATAATGTGCTAGAAGTTACAAGAAAATAAATTTCAGTTCCATATAAGAAAGAACTTCTAACAATAAGACCTGTTCAACAAAAGAATGGTCTGCCTTTGAAGGCAGTACGTTTCTCATCACTCAAAATATTTAAGTAAAGATTAAGCACCTACTTGTGAAAAGTGTTGTAGAGAGAATTTCTTTATCAAGTAGGAGTTGGAATAGGTGATCTCTAAGGCTCTTTCTAGGGTTTAATTTTGTGAATACTACAATTTTCCTCCTCTGCCCACTGCGATTCTATACATGAAACATCTTTGGCAGCCCTATTGAACTATTGACTCATATTGGGCTCATAGGCCACTGACACTTCCAGTTCTCTTTCACATGATCTCCTCTTCTTATTTTTCAGCCTCCTAAGTTATCTTCAGTTGTCTCAGGCTCACAAAATTGTCATTAAAATAA